AGCGGAGGGCGGCAAGGGGGCCGCCTGCAAATTTCGTTGACGGCCGTCGCCCGAGAGCGAACGGCCGGCTGCCACGTCATTTTCGCCGCCCTCTGGGAGGGCGATTTTTAAAAATCGCCCTCCCAGAGGGCGGTAGGCGACTACTTCCGTCAATTTTCAAAATGGAAAATTATTTTTGTAAAACTTTTAATAAAAAAATTTATAAATAAAAAAAATTCAATTTCCAATGGGTACTCTGTTACTCTTGTTGATTAGAGCAAACGTTATCACATTCATTCTACCCGATCAAGGTAAATAAAGTAGTGCAAAGTATCATAGGGCGAAAATCAATGGAAGTATCGTAGAACAAAAATAGCAAAGCAAAGTGACTCTTGAGAACAAAATATTCAAGAAGAAGAAAAATGAGCTCGGGACAAAATTCAACATTTGCTAAATTCAAGGAAAATAACTATTGAGGTAAATCTCAGTTTTAGCCTTCACAGAGAGAAACGTCCAAATATTTTTCCCATCTGCAATTAAGCTTAGGATAGTGTGTAGGAGTAAAATGTATCTATACTTCGAATTAAGAAGAATAATTCTTACCTCAACTATCCCCGAAGCAAGACAGACACGATAATCATCTTCACCAAAAGCAGGGGCAAAATGTACAACACCAGTTCCAGTATCATCAGCTACACAGTTATCTGCTACGACTCTAAATGCGGTGTCCTGCAGCTCTGAGAAATAGTCGAACAAAGGAGTATATCTGTATCACAAAAGGAAACAAAAAACATGAGTGCTTAGAATAAACTGAAGATCACAACTGCAATAATATATTCAGTAACTAAAAGAAAGAATAAACCAAGATTATGAAGTCTAGAACATTGTCAACCCTCAAAAGGAAATGGACGCATTAGAATCTCAAAAAACGATGAAGATTTCCGGATAAGAAACATTGGATGGATTTGAAATCCCATTGGCTCTAGTCACACGAATAGCATTGTAATATCAGTTCGTACTAGGTGATTGCAGATATTAAAAGTAAATTTGAATGCGATACCGGATATATTGGAAGAAAGAATCATAAGATCCAATTAATAACAGCAGTAGCACTGACCTAAGGCCTACCAAGGATGATCCATGAATCTTTTCGAGTAGTTCATACGATTCAGTATCCAGTCCATTTTTAGCAGCTCCACTGCTCCCCTTTGAAGGCCCTGGCTTCTTTCCAGTAACTTTGACCGTGACCGGCAATTGGTCTAGCCTAGTTTCTGCAACAATATATACGCTCCCATTTGATTTGTCCTTAACCTGTTTGTACCGTAGTGCAGCTCTTCAGATAGAAGCTAAGAACAGTATAACTATAGAAATATAAAATATAATGCTTTATGACTATTTCTTTGTATGAGATATCATAAACTTGGATGAGCCTAAACCTATAACAAGATCAAGAGACAATTTTTAGTATTCGAAGCTAACCAAATAATTTTCTCACGGTAAGATTGTATGAAAATTGCGATCATTTCACAGTAAACATAAATTAAAAAAACAGAGCAAGTCACAGTCAGAAATAAAACAAGTGTAAGTTACAAAGCAATCGAAGTATCAGCTATATATATCTGAGATAAAAAAAAATGCAGTATGAGTTTACATAAGGGTAATCTGAAGTTGCAGTGAAAGCAGAGGCATATTAGCTGCAGATCAGCAGATCTTTGAAAATTCTAGTAATTGTTTTCTGTCATGACTCTAGAATAGGTAGGCAATTAGTAAAAGTACCCAGAAGTGGCAAATGAAACAATTACAAAATGCATGGCAAGAGTAAAGCCTTGGTCTTGAATTAATTTTGAGTTATGTGAATTAGTTTAAAAGTCCAGATAACCCCAGCTGTTCACCAGATGACAGGAAAAAAATTGCAAATGTCCACCATTTTCTATGGTCTGTCTGCTTTAGGTGTAGTTCAGGACTATTTTTCACGTACCCAAAATCACCAACAAATTACTCCATACATGCAGACTGTACTATTAACAAACACAGCAATAAAAATATTTAAATACGCTATAAACCTTGGCATAAACAAATTTTGCATTGACAGAGTGCTAGGTTGCTAGGTAGCGTCCAGGGTGTTGTTGTCCATGCAACAAGAGCTGCATTGTCCACATCACCAACAACAGGGAAGGACACCATGGCTGTTTCGGCCGGAACAAACTACAACATCATCAAAATTAAACATCAGGTCAACTAACAGAGCAGGTCAAACAAGGGCGTGCAGAGGAGAGAAAACAACAATTGACCTGGCGGTGCTGTCCTGCCTCAAAGTTCGACAATGGTGTTTTCATGCCAGTGCTGTAAGGCATCACCTGTAGAACAGCTCCAGAGATTTAAACAGGGAAATAAATACACAAAAAGGGGAAGGGGGGTTGCACATAATATTATTAACTAAAGATAATTCCAGCATTAATGCATCCGAAGCATGTCAAATTGACCAAAACCCAAACCCCATAGTCCCAAACTCTAATTGGAAGAACGGTCTGTGCTCGATACTCCTTCCTCTCATCTTCTACTCACTTGTTTTATATAACCACGCTTGCTAATTCTTTTAAAGAAAATTATAAAAATCATATTAATTGATTTTTTAAATCTTTTTAACTAACATATTTAATTAATCATGTTAATGAGTTGTTCCGTTTTACGAACGCAGCCTTAGCAGTGAGCCAGTAACCAACTTGATCATATACATTTCTGTCGGACAGATTTCCAAAGTCCTAGCGGTAGAGCCATCTAATAATCCCAAACCATGATGAGATCAGAAGAGGGGCTAAAATCGATCATAAAGACCTCTAGAATCTAAATTGTGCATAAATGGGAATTAGGCATGGGGGATTAATTAGCGTACAATAGTCCCATATAATAATCCTAAACCATGATGAGATCAGAAGAGGGGCTAAATCGATCATAAAGACCTCTAGAATCTAAATTGTGCATAAATGGGAATTAGGCATAGGGATTAATTAGCGATTTTCAAAAACCTGACGTACTGACCTTAAAACTCTTGTAGACAAGGTCCTTGTCCCACAGCTGCGCGAAAACCCACCACACGCTCTCCATGAACTTGATGTCCATGGTCTTGTACCCGTCCTCGAAATCGACCCACCTCCCCATGCGCGTGACGACGGCCTCCCACTCGGCGACGTACCTGGTGACGACGCCGCGGCACGCGTCGTTGTAGCTGGCGACCCCCATCTCGAGCACCTGGGCGCGGGTGGCGATCCGAAGGGCCTCGTCGACGGCGCGCTCGACGGGGACGCCGTGGCAGTCCCAGCCGAAGCGGCGGGCGACGTGGCGGCCGCGCATGGCGTGGTGGCGGGCGACGGCGTCCTTGATGCTGCCCGCGAGGAGGTGGCCGTAGTGCGGGAGGCCCGTGGCGAAGGGGGGCCCGTCGTAGAAGACGAACTCCTCGCCGCCCGCCGTGCGGCGGAGCTGCTCGTGGAAGGCGTCGAGCTCCTCCCAGAGGCGGAGGACCCGCTCCTCCTCCGCCGGGAAGGAGAAGTCCTTCCCCTCGCACACCTCGTCCATCGCGCGCGCGTGAGCTGCTCGACCAAATGCGTGAGGCGAGGGGAGGAGGAGGGGTTCGTGGCGCGCAAGTTTTGGGATCGAGAGGCGAGGCGGGGGGTGGGGGTATTTGTTTCCCGCGGCGATTCGTGGCGCTCAAGTTTGCGACGCCGGCGGCACGCGGTTTTTTCTATTTTAGAATCGCGGGGAGGTGCAGTGGACGGAGTCCTGACTCCTGGACTCCTGGAGGGGTTTATAGTTCACTTTATTACTGGTTTTTCAACCTTATCAAGATTTAAAGCCCCATCAGGTGGTCAAGTCAAAACAAAAGCTAAAATTTAAATTTTCGAGCTTGATTTAGAAATTGATTTTAAGATATTTTCAATGTAATTTCTTCTTGGTGTTGGTTTTAAGTCGCTACGAACAAATATATAAAAGTTTTACCTATAAATTAATTTTTATTCCTAATAAGTTGTTTTGGCTTATTAGAGAAAACAGGCAACCGATGAGACTTTTAATATTACCAAAATTTAATAAGGCAACAAACCAAACATATATACTTGCCAATGTCACCTTATTAAACTTTGCCAATTCTAAAAGTTTTCACTCTTAAAAGTTTATCAAATTTTAATAAAGCTTTAAACTAAAAGCATACAACGCTGCCAAGATTTGGTAATGTTAAAATATACCAAAATTTGACACTAATAAATTTTAGAAGGGTTAAAAATAGCTACAAAGTGAATAAACCCTAAACATTACTAAAACCTAAACATTACGAAAACTAAGATTAACATTTGACAGTACTTTCAATAAAAGAATCATTTGATAGTACTAAAATTTGATACAGTCGATTTTGATAATGTACTGAACACAAAGCCGAAGAGAAGGCAATGCCCTCGAACGATCGGAGCCATTTGATCTTATGAGTTATTATGACTTGTATTTTGGTCCCCTTTGTTTTTCTGAACGAGTTACGGGCGCTGAGATCATGCACTAAGCAAACATTCCACATAAATTTTGTATGAGTTCCATAAGCAATAGTTCGATTCAAGTAAAAAATGTCCTTTTTGTTTCAAAAAAATGTATTGTTCTATTAAATTTTAAATTTTGGCCGCAATTTCAGAGAGACGCAACTAAGGCCATGTTTTTTTCCAGCTTATTCACCGGTCTGAAATAGATTATTTGTTTCACGCTTAAAAAATATCTTTGCTCAAAATAAAAACCTTTATTCTACTTACACCACTTGATTAAAGTTATTTATTTGCTAAGTTTATTTATCCCCATATAATCAACTCGATAACACAGTTGGACAATGTGACTACAAATCACAATCATGATCCATCATATCGGATGCTTTTTTTTTCTTTTTGGAACTGAAAGTTAAAGCATTCGAAAACTTCGAAATTATCCATACGGTCATAGCTAAGTTACGTTTGAAAGACAAGTTGTGATCAAGCTGACAATGCAAGTCCTCCAAGACTATACTCTAATGTTGCCAAAATTAAAATGGAGAGAAACAAACATTTGCCAGCATTTGGTTTCGCTATATAAATTTACAGTTCTTCCAATATACAGCTGTACTTGAAAACATCATAGTATCTGGACAGCTAACCCTCTTGTACATACAAAATGTTGAGACATTGTACAAAGATGCACTTTTGCACAAAAAATATTGCTACGCCTAGACAGACATTCGCTGGTGTTCCTGAGAGGCTAAGGATGTTCATGAAGCCTTCATAAAACTTGCATCTCCTTCATATTCTCAATTTCAGTAGTCGGTTGATTGGGCCTCCAAATATACCACACCCTGGCAATGTCGATGAGACCAGATCCAAGCGACAAATACTGCAGGAAGAAATAGCCAAAAGAAAGCTGTGGTTGTGCAATAAACACCTACAAGTTGAAATACGATCTAGCTCGCCTTCTCCAAAAGAATCACAAGGGCAAATAAGCACTACTCTCCGAATGAATGGAAGGAAGTGAACGTGTGTAGCGGCTAGATGGGTTGTTACGACCAAGGCCCAATCCTAGCCCCAAGGGGGTCTTGTCAGGTCTCTTACTGTGACTGCAACATTGTGATGAACCGTGCGAGTGACGATGGGATTTTGAGTTCCCTTGTGGATCAGCACAACCATGGTCTGTGCCATTAGCATGAAGTGACATGCTCTCGCCATTCTGTGAGACTGCACTTCTTGTCATTTGAATCATTCCCAATTCCTCATCAGGTTGTAATGTCTGTTCTACCCTCTCAATATCCTCATTGTACCCTTTCAGCAAGAAGTCAGAACAGTTTTTACGCACCCCATGGTCAAATGGATTTCTGAATCGGCCACCTGGGCCTCTGAGATAACTATACCTCATGGCATTTGCCATCTCATTTGTTGTTAAATTCCTGGATATCTGCAAGGGATAAGAAGAAATAAATGATTGACAATGTAATTTAAAAATAGAGCCCAAATATAAGCAGGGAATGATAATTGCAAGGACTGAGAAAAAAACATTTGCAGTATAGCTCAATGGGACAAACAGAAGCCCAATCATTTTCTATTATAAACACAACTAGCTCAATGGCACTCATACAAAATTATCTATTTTTACATATGATTTTACTTAAAATTTTGTTAAATAGCTATCTCATTGCCTTATCATCTCCGAGTTTCTAATTTTGTAGTTTTTAAGTCACGCCAATCGCTACCCCTTACTCCTTTGTCACCCATTTATTTGTTTGCTTGATCTACTATGACTTCTACTCATCCTTCTTGGAATCTTTAAAAATTGGACATTGTAGTTTTAGAGTTCATTGTCTCATTGGCTTTCATTTTACAACTTTTAGAAGCCCTGTCAAACGCCGCTATTGTACTCCTCTACGGCCCGCCCGCTGCCTCCTCACTTCATCATTGGGATTTAAAAAACAAAACATAATTGTCGTTGGGGTTCATTTTTTTTACTTTCTAGAAGTCCCGCCAAACCGTCAGCGGCTCCGCCATTATACTTCTCTACGACCCGCTTGCAGCCTCCCCTCTTTATTATCATTGAGATTTTAAAAAACGAGCATGATTAACATTGGGGTTTATTTTTTACTTTCTAGAAGTCCCGCTAACCGTCATGGCCATGCTGCTTAACGGCCTACCCGTCGTCCCTCCTCTTAATCGTCATTGGGATTCTATTTGGGGTTTTGTTTATAGTTTTTAGATGTCCCATAAACAGCCACCACCCTACTCCTTTACGGGCCTGTTGTTTCTCCCCTTTTTATCGCCATTTGTTATCGTTGTGTTCTAGATGGACTATTTCTAAACAAACTTCCATATTTTCCGTCCTGATATTTTGTTGTTTATAAATTGTATTACTACTGATTTTATTTTTTATTCTGGATTTTAATTAATCTCGTGTTGTGTTCTAGATAGTCTCTTCTTTCGATAGTCTTTATTTTTTAATCCGATTTTGGTTATTTATAAATTGTATTCCTATCTGAACTCTTATTTTTTTTTTCCTAATTTCGGAATTTATTTTATTTTTATTTCAAATTTTAGTTAATCTCGTATTGTGTTCTACATGGACTATTCTTTCAATATTTTTTTTTATTACCAATTTCGGTTGTTTGTAAATTGTATTCTTACTTGAACTCTTATTTTTTATTTTTCTAATTTCGTTATTTATTTTTTTATTTTTTAAAAATTTCGAACTCTAGTTGTGTTCTACATGGACTCTTCTTTCAATAATTTTTTATTTCACTTATTTCTAAATGTATTTCTACTCGAACTCTTCTTTTCTTTTTCTCCGATTAATGTGGGAATTTCTAGCATCCACAATGAACGTGGTAGCTCCTTTCAAGTCTGTTTTAAGAATATAATAGATAGGACCAATGATTGCATGAAGAATCATGCCACAAGTAGCAAGAGCGATCTCTAAAAGTGTGTGTACATATTAACAGGGCCGTTAACACATTGGATTTGTGTTGAAGTCATATACTAGACAAAAGAAATGCAGGTTGGCTGGCAGTTCACACCCAAATATATTGACATAGAAATGAGTAAAACAAAAAATGGAAGCATGGTGTCATTAGGTGGATTTTGATCAGAGATTGCAAATGTAAATGATAAGGGAATTATACATCAGTGTGAATGGAAATGACCAAATACTGCTTTTGATGAGTAATGGTTTTCATTGAATAATTCATCCATGCACTGCCAAAAGAGCAATGCAACAGCAAGCTAAAGGCAAGTATATATATGGGTTATTAAGTTACAAAGTTACATATATGGGTTGTGTACATACTGATTCAATCTGGGTGTCAGACCTCAAATAGTATAATGACAGGTAAAAGGGAGGCAAATACCAACTTGGTTCATACCTGTGATGCTTGAACTACAGTTAGAGTTATAACGCCAAAGAAAAGAAAGAGATCCATCACAACAAAAGACACCACCCAAGGATGGTTAGTGGCTGAATAATTAAGCCATCCACCAAATGATGCAGGAGAATCTGGGTCTCCTACTACTCCTGCAAAGGAAAAGGGATAAAGATTAAGAAATCTTCCATACTACAAACTGTAAAGGTTTTAAAGAAAGATGTGAACATACTTATGACGGCCGTCACACCAGTAATAATCATTGCAGAAACTTCTAGGATCAGGAACATAAAAAATTCCCATTTGTTCTTCTGCACTCACAAATAATTGTAGGTTAGAATCTTAGACAAAACAATTCTCCATAAGTAATCAAAAGGGAATAGCAAAACAAAAGGCAAATCATTGACTAGCGGCTGAACAGTTTTATCTTGTTTTTCGCCTCTGCTTGGGTGCAGACTGCAGACATCAGGTTTCTATTCATGAATTGCCAATTGGCTGAAACAGGCAACTTCCTAATTCTGAATTAAGATATTTGACTACAAATAAGAAAACTCAACAAAGAAGAGGGTGAATTTAGTACCTTTCCAATGCAATTAGACACCCAAGGGCAGTGATGGTCAAATTGCTCAACACAGCGATCGCATGTAGAGCAATGTTTTGAGCGTACAGGCCTAACAATCTATTGATATAGATGAATCAGGTTTTTAAGTAAAAGTTAAATATATGGAGAAACTCACTTTGAATGGAAATAACTCACTTTGCAGGTTATACATAGCTGAGACCAATTGCCAGCCAGAAGTTCAGGGTTGTCTAGACCCCTCTTCAACAAAGGTTCCTAGAGGCACAAAAACTCAAAATTAATATTGCATATTATGTACTAATACTAGTATTTCAACTTTTTGAAGGTGGCAATCTAATAATTGAACATGAGATTTGGCAGATTAACAGGAAGCCACATTGGCTCTCTAAATCTTTCAAGCTTACATCATCTCTTTGATTTTGGGCATCTCTTGTATTCTTGTCAATGTAGCCAGGATCTTTTCTGCATAACAAAATAGTATGGCCATTCTTCAAACAAATTTTTAAATGATTGAATCAAATATCTTTAATGTGAAATAAAAGTAGTATGTGGTGGGCATGTTACAATTTTATATAGATGTGCAAGGCCAGAACATAATGCATTAAAGAGTGTAGGCAAAATAACAAGATCCTCAATGTTTCAGGACAGCACACTAAAACGTGGTATTAATTGATAAATAGCCAAATTGCTCTGTTCCAGCAAAGAAATCACAGTTTTCTTTAAAAATAAAGAAAGTGACCTTGTACTTCCAGGCTACATGCAAACAAAGAAAGATTACTTTCTGCAAGGTGAGATTAATATGTTAAAAAACCCTTCTAAGGAACGACTAGATGCAAATGAAGAAAATATTAGTTTCTGCAAAGTGAGATTAATTTGTTAAAAAGGCCCTTAAGAAAAGAGCTGTCTAAAGAGGCACAATTGACATGGATCTGTCTATATGTTTCCTCCAGTTTTTGGAATATTGGTACAATATAATCGAATGTTTACCTGCTACACTTATAGAACATAACCAATCCGGCAGTAGCAAGGAAAATTCCCAACCATGAAAATAACCCAAATAGTAATGTCATATTACTGCTATATTGTCCTGAATAGAAGGAAACAAATTCAGTAATCCACAACCACAGTATGAAAGATCAAAATTTCTGAAAAGACATTATATCAGTAATGTACCTGAGATAACTGAATATACATATATATAAATTAAGCCAATAATAATACACCAAAGAAGAGGGGCGAGTCCTAATTTTGATAGTTTCCCAAAATAACTGTTCCCACCACATCCTCTCTCATGTACTCTTCTAGCATTCCCCTGCATAGAACAATCAAATCATCAAATCAATCCTTAGCATTTGCCAGGAATAAATTACATGCTGAGGCTAACGATAAATGTTTTATACCTTTAAGCAAGATAATCTATACTGGGGAATAGTTAAAAGAATATCCAGAACAAGTACAAGAGCATTCACAATCCACAAATGCTAGTGATTATCCAAAAACTTTTACTTTGTTACCTCCATGTTATTAACAATGCATATTATTTTAAGAAAACATTTTAATTCATATAGTAAAAGAATTAACGGTAAGTGGCACTGTGGCAGGCAATATACAGAGTCTATTGGGAAATAGCAGGGCCGTGGAGCACATCCATTCATCATGAGAGTAATGCTTACTACTACGTATTAGGTATAAAAAATAATTGTCAATGAAGAACAAGCCAAAAATAGGTGGCACAAATGGAAAAGCAGCCAAAAAGCATATTAACAGAACTATTAAATTCCCAATCAGATGGCAACATTTACGGTATGATGGAATCTTGGGAAGCTAAAAGGATACTCTTGGGAAGCTAGAAGGATTCTCATGTATGATAAACAAAAAATGGTGAATATTCATAGCACTCACAAGGAAAAAGGCAACTTGCCGATGATTTTTATCAGCAGCAAGTTGGGCTGGAGTTAAGCCGGTATTGTCTTGCACCATAAGATCCTCCTTTTTACCAGCCTGAACCAGCACAGTGCATGACTCCAAATTCCCGCGGATAGCAGCCCAATGCAAAGGAGTGCAACCTAATGAAAAGCATTTGAGCTGGAAATGAATATTTGATATCCAACAAAACTAATGCAGGGGAAGCGTGCTTAAATGCTTGTTGTAGGTTAGATTGTCATGATCAGTATAAAGATAGGGTTTAGGAAGAGCTAGAAAAACTAACTAAACACGTGCCTTCTTTATCTTGCCGCCCCCTATATGCACCCAAAAACAAAAGGAGGCGTACAGAATCTGCAAATCCTTTATAAGCAGCCCTGGAAATGTGAACAATATTGAATCATCAATAGGGGCACCATGAAGCCATGTTAGACAACACATTAAGTGACAAAAATAAAGAATACCACAAGGCTTGTGTTTGAACTTTGAAAAAAAATGTACAGGGGAAAGGTACAAACCAGTGGAGAGGACTTCTTCCATCATTATCAGGGACATCAGGATCAGCATTCCATTTTGCAACAATATGATAAAGATATGATGTTTGACCATACTGTGCTGCAACATGTGTAGTCTGTGGTATAACAACAGATGGATTCCGTCAGAAATACTTCAAATACAAGGTAACTGACTGACTCTTGACTTTTTCTGCCCAACTTTTAAGATCAAACCGGGAATTTATCTACTGCAGATATCTTACTTTATTGTTGAACTAATCTGCATATGTAGGAAAAAAATACAGACTGACATTTCAATTAAAGACCTAATTCCGAATCAAAGTGAATATGCCAAATTTTTTTTTTCGAAACCTATCCTTGTAATGACTCTGTTTTGTCTATAGCCTACTTCACTTAGTACCTTGTTGACAACCCTGGCGACTAGCTTAAGGCGGTAATAAACCCTGCAGATCACTCAAACTCAAAAACAAAATGACTGTATGCTAAAAGAATTAAAAGATAAAATATAGGATCTGATTACAGAAGTAAAATACTTGTGCATTTTAATCCCATCCTAACAACCTAACCATTATTATGGTAGAGATAGAAGTAATTAAATTTATTATAAAGGCCAAAAATGGCAATGTTACAAATTCCTAATCTCTTTGCCACTTACTAGAACAACATGCTTTTGGGGTACTAGAGGAAGTAATAGTTTTATGGTATCTGACGAGAGAAAAGATTTCATTATCTTGCAGGAAGCCATACAACCTAGCATCAATGTGTATGAAATTACAATTTGAAGCATCTTAGTGACTGATATAGGGATTATACAGCAAAGCAATGGTAAACTATTATGTACCACATAATCATTATAGAGACATTGCAACATAACTTGAGTAAGAAACAGTTGGTCACCAGGTGAATTAATCAAAATACATTAGACAACAGAAAGAGAATATATATGTGTTAAGGAACCATGGATGCAATAGATAAGTCAAAGACAAACCTGATATCCATATAAATCAGCGGCATCCACCTTAGCTCCTTCTTTCAGAAGTAGTTCTGCAACTTGAATATGACCACGTACCGCACTCCAGTGGAGTGCTGTTTGCCCTGTATGGTCTATAGCATTTACATCTGCTCCATGCTGTCCAGACAACAAGCTGAGAACCGTCATCCCACCAAAGCAAACAACTGAAAAGGATAGGACATACTATAGAGCAGCAAAGAAAACCATGCAACTCAAGAAGTACTATATAACTACACTGTTCAACATAAAACCGTGAAACCAATGGCCTTAAAAGACACAATGCATAACATGTTGACTGGGATAGACCAGTCAGCATAGGCATACTCAAATCAATCCAAGCAAGGTTTCAAAGGGGTTGGCTTCATTGTCTAAACAGCTGGACATGACATTTAACTGAACAAACTTCCTATGATCCCATTTATGGTTCAGCGAAATTCTTGGAAATGCTTGCTCGCTTGGTAAGATATGGCAAGAGGCAAGTTCCACAGGGTTTCCTAACACTAAAGGAGCTGCAGATTGGCCCTGCCTAGACCTATCCAACAGCCACCATTCAACCAACATAGCATTAACATCCATCCAACACATAAACACAAACATACCAAAACTAAGCTCAAAACCGCTACCCTCAGAGCAAAAGCGAAATACCTTCCTGTCATTACAAGCCACATGAACCAAAATCTCTCCTCATCGATCCAACCAAAAAACCAAACGAGATTCGCAACAACAACTAAACAACTCGTGCCCATCCCCCACAGCGCATTCCCAGCAGGAGCTACACTTCGTCTGCACCTCAAACAACACATCACCGGGGAGCTCCGTTGCTGATCGGGGAAAGGGCAGGAAAACCGAATTCCTAAACGCGCAAGCTCGAGGACACACTAGCATTACCCAAGCTCGGGGGGCGGATTGGATTGGGCGACGGCGATGGATCATACCTCGAGGATGTACTGGGCGGCGGCGACGCGGTTGTTGAGGGCGGCCCACTGGAGCGCGTGGTAGCCGAGGGCGTCGGGCTCCGTCACCGGCCGGCCCTCCCGCTCCACGAGGCGGTGCAGCTTCTCGAGGTCCCCGTACGCCGCGCCCGTGTACACGTCGTCCTTGAGCGCCTCCGCATCCGCCGCCGCCTCCCCCTCCTCCCCCGCGCCCGCGCCCGCGACCTCTCCGCCTCCGATGGTGGCGGCCGGGGCGGCGGCGGCGGCGGTGGTGTCCTCGAGCACCTCGATCTCCGACGCCATGGAGGGAGGGAGGGAGGGAGGGGGAGGAGGGATCGGGGGATTGGGTCGCGCGTGGCTTGGCTTTGGCTTAGCGACGGTCTCCTCTTCTCGGGGGCGTTTTGACTGGGTTTTTCTTTTTTTTTTCTGTTTTGTTGTTTGGGCGGAGGAAGACGGCCAATACCGCAAGAGGGAGACGTGGGAAACGAACAAGCGGGTTCAAGGAAGAACGAGATGCCGAAATGGCGATTGATGATTCCTTCTTGGCAACGCCTTTTTTGTTTTTTTTTTCAGATTTCCTTTGCTTTACTCGGTTCGGAAAGTTACCACGAATGTAGCTTTTGTTCAGTCATATTTAAGTTACTCCTCTCATAAATAAGGTTGTAATTCTACTATATTGTTGAAGTTTTATAATCATTTATTTATACACTTATCACAATTAACTTAGAAAAAAAAGTATGAGCATTACAACAGGTAAAGACGTTTTCTCAATAATACAACAGTTATTAAGAAGATGAGCAATAAATTAAAATATTAAAATCGTTATAATACATTATAATTGAAAAAGTTAATGAAAATACTTCCTTGTGATTTTATAGTCAGAAAGTTCATAGAGGGAGGAGGAAGAAGGGTTTGAGATAGAGAATGACATGTGGGGCCTACGATATATTTTTGTGTATGAATGATAGATGTGTCTCACATATATTTTTTTAAATTCTAATGCCACATAAGTATCGCATGGGATGAACACCAGGTCAACACCGCCATGTCAACGCCACATTAGCAAAACCGTCCTTCAAAACTGCTAGGAAAGTCAAATCACACTGGTTTCAATAGTTCGAGAGTCGTCCTATCCGATGTTTTTTTAGAGGGGTACGAATTATATTCGGCCTAAAGGGAGCCAAGTGGACTTTATCCGATGGTAAAAGCCTGTTGCTGAAATGCCGGCCCATATACGCAAATGGGCCATCTTGGGCCTTCCAAACGGCCTGATCTGTCGCAGCACAGGACAGCTGCTGCTCTGGGCGAAAAAAAAAAAAACCCCTCACTGGATTGGCTCTCATCTCATCGATCCTGCTCACCCTTCCTCTCTCTCCTCCTCCTCCCCACCCCAACGCCATGGCTGCCGCGGTCGCCTCCCATCGGTTCCTCTCCGTCGCCGAGGCGGGCGCCGCCTTCCGCTGGACCCCGTCCCAGCTCGACCCCAAGGTATTCTTCTCTTCCTTCGCTGTACCTGGCAGCCTGAGCCGCCGTAGATTGGAGATCCATCCCGACTTTTGGAACTCCCTTTTTTTCGGTTTGTCGTCTAGTTGCTGATCCAATTTATTTATTTTCTTTTTCGAGAAATTAAGCCATATTCTCTGTGTTGGATCTCTTTCACGCACTGTGGTGACACAAATTTGAGGTTATCTGTTGAGTTGAAGTGTTTAACTTGATGGGTAGATTTAGCTTGCTAGAGAAATTGTTGGTAGTTGTTGGTGGGGAATTTGGAATTCGGTTCATACTTTCCAGATTTTATTGTGTTGCATTGTGCTATTTGTAGGATTAAGGAGTCAATTAACTCACGACTAGGGGCACTAGGGGGAATTCTTGGCAGTTTGTTCATAGAGATTTAATTCGCCCTTTTCAGTTTGCTTATGTTGCATTGTGTTGTACTCCCTCCGTTTCACAATGTAAGTCATTCTAGCATTTCCCACATTCATATTGATGTTAATGAATCTAGACATATATATCTATCTAGATTCATTAACATTAATATGAATGTAGAAAATGCTAGAATGACTTACATTGTGAAACGGAGGAAGTATCTAGGATTAAGGAGTTACTTTTGTGTACTGTTCTTACGAATAGGATAACGTAATGTGCACAGAGGAATTTGGAGAAGTTTCCGCATCTGGTGCTCTATTGTTATATGATAGTAAATTACTTGGTGGTTCATGGGGGTCTCATTGATGTTGTGCGTGCCCTTGCTGGATTTATCATGTCTATGTTCAGAGCACCATTCACTGAAAACCTATGGTCCAGAAATTTCGTGCTTGTTAGGAACCTTTATATTTCGAGTGTTGTCCAGAATAAGGCCTAAAAGTGCATGATGTATACATGTATTTACATGGTTTCTGTGCCAATAGTGTCTTCTGCAAGGTATTACTGGGATTGTTTTTCTCCTTAACTGAAGAGAAAACCAGGTGAACTGGTGTTTCAGACCAGCAAGTAAAGTGTGTTTACTCTATTGTACTGTATTGGCTGCTATGTTCTTTGTTTTATGACCAATCATCCATCACTATATAAACTCCCTCCATCCCAAATAGGCTTCCATTTGTCCCACAAAGATTTTATTTCTAACTTCTGAGTTATACCTACTCCCAATGTACATTTAATTGGAGCATAGAAATTGCAACCGTGATTATTAATGAGGGGCACCTTGGCCTTTTCACCACACTTCTAATTTGCCCTATAATTGCTGGATTAAAGTCTTTGTGGAACGGAGAGATTGCCTTGTATAATTCTTTAACTGGGATATTCAAGTGGTTTCCATGTTTCTAATGATTTCACTGTTTGGTGCATTTAGCAGCCCCCCGCATGGCAACAATGGCCTGTCATGCGCCCTATGGCCTTTCCATATTACCACTGTCTACTATGTCAGTCATATGTTCTATTCGGTAAATGTAAATGAAATTAGTACCCATATAAGGAGTAACATTAGCTATTGCTGTAGGATAATTTTATGGCTAGGGGATGTGGATTAGACCGAGTTTTGTCTGACTATTCACATACAAAATTACAAATGTATTGTGTTAGAGCTATTGATGTGTAAGTTTGTTGCAAGAGTTTCAGAGTTTGGCACTAAATGCATTGTAAGCTAGTGTTTTGTGTTTTTCTCCTTATATTTGTGCCTGGACGACACACCAGAATGGCCTTGTATTAAGATACTCCATTCTTGGAGCTAAACTGGAATGAACACCATATTGAAGTTAAAATATTCTCTATATAGCCTTGTCATTTTCATTCCAAAAAGGAATTGTTTATCCACGTAGTATCTTTCATTTTAATGTTTGCTACTTGTGTAATATAATAATTACCCTTGGGAAAAACCTCTGCTTTGGTCTGATGAGCAACTCTGCTATACACCAATCCTCCATCATCAGCTTTAACCCCTTCCTTTTCTTTTTTGCTATGGTATCCAGATGTTGTCATTGCAAAACGAAATCTTCATTACATCTGGTGGAGACCGGGATTTGATTAATAGGTATGTCTTATACCCCTTTGCAACTGCAGTTCTGAATTCATTAGTGTTGAATACATGTATTCTATCCATGACTGTAGACATATTAATATCTCATCTCAAAGCTGAGGTTTGTTTTTGACCCTTCTCCTAAAGGATTCTCAGCAAAAGCAAAACTGAAACGGTTCCTGAGAACAAGGATGATGGTGAGTCTGATGATGATAACGATGAGGAGGGAGATGACGAGGATGCTGAAAATCAAGGCGACGATGATGCTGGTGATGAAGATGCCTCGGAAGAGGAAGGGAATGATGAGGACGAGGACGGGGACCCTGAAGCCAATGGTGAAGGAGGGAGTGATGACGACGATGGTGGAGAAGATGACGATGACGAGGATGAGGACGGGGACGATGATGAGGGTGAGGGCGAGGGCGAGGATGACGATGAGGATGAGGAGGAAGAAGAGGAAGAGGATGACGACGATGACGTCCCGCAACCACCTGCCAAAAAGAGGAAATGATCAATGAGTAACAGCCCTACCTTACAAGCAAGAACGTGGCTCTGTTCATCCTGTGCTTAGTGGTTCACTGGTTACTGGTTAGCAGGTAGGGGTTTTAGCTCGGTCGTCAGCCATAGCCTAGTTTGAGAACAGGAAAAAAGAACACTTAGTTGTGCATGTACTATTTAAAAGATTCTTTTTTATCATGTCTCTCTTCTGATTTGCTACCGATTTGTGTTTGCTTAGCCCTTTTTACATTGTTGTTGTACCCTCCAGACATTAGACATGAATGGATGTACGTAATAATGCAGCAATGCAAGTAAGACAGCCTCGTTCTTGTGTTCCTCGTGCTCGAATGGATTAATTGGGTTGCCACTATGAATGGGTTTTGTGTTCAAAAGTCAATTCATTTGTAAGAATAGTATTTAATTTATAAGATGTGCCATTTATTTGTCAAGAATAAATAGGGAAGAAAAGGAGAAAAATTTTGTGGATATAAAAAGAAAAATTACATTTAGGAAAGCATTGAGAGAATGAGTGGGGAGAACCTTGTAACAGCGCAACAATTTGGATGCTTCACGTCAATCAATACCCATTGCTGCAAAATTAGAAGATTTTTTTTTTAAAAAAAAGACAATATCATCGACATCAATCATCATCATCATCCTCATCATTTTATCGCTAGAAAATGGCAAATTTTCCAATGCTCCTTGTTCACTGTGCCACAGGATGACTTATGCAGCTGGAGACAAAAGCTAAAGAGGACCAGAGAAAATTCTGGGATCAAAACACAAGGTTGGAACCTGGAACTAGAACAAAAATGGGAAATCAAGTAGACAATGGAGTCATCAACTCAAGGAGCAAATCATGACAAAATAGTCTACATATTTTGCTCATCCCCAACAAAACTATGGCCTTTGTTACACCCAACGTCGCCGGTTTAGAACAACTTGAAGAGGATACCACCGTGGGTGGCGAAGAAGGGGGCGAAAACGAGGGATTCGACCGCCATGAGCTTGATGAGGATGTTGAGAGAGGGTCCTGAAGTGTCCTTGAGAGGGTCTCCGATGGTGTCACCGATGACGGCCGCCTTGTGGGGATCGGAACCTTTGGGACCAAGGGTCCTGGCATGCTCTGAAGCTCCAGCCTATGCAGAACAATGAAAAGAAAGTTAAGGTAACATGCAGGATTGAACCCAAAAGAAAAGGAAATGGATACTGGTAGATATTGTACCTCAATGTATTTCTTTGCATTGTCCCAAGCACCGCCAGTGTTTGATGCGGAGATGGCAATCTGAGAGAAGGTGAAACGGATAAGGAGCACGGACCATTGGATGCAATTGTAATCCTAGAATTCAGAATGGTTACCAACCTGAACACCAGAGACGAGAGCACCAGCAAGGACTCCAGAGAGGGTCTCGACGCCGAACAGAATTCCGACGATAAGTGGGGTGAGCATAACAAGAGCACCAGGAGGGATCATCTCCTTGATGGATGCATCAGTGGAGATCTTGACACAAGTTGCATAGTCAGGCTTAGTTGTGCCCTCCATGAGTCCAGGGATGGTGTTGAACTGCCTGCGGACTTCCTCCACCATCTTTAGCGCCGCGCTGCCTACACTCTTCATAGTCATTGCTGAGAACCAGTATGGGAGCATAGCACCAACAATAAGCCCAATGAACACTTTTGGTGTCAGAACATCAACCGTAGAGATAGCCGCACGGCTCACAAAGGCACCAAAAAGTGCAAGTGACACCAAGGCTGCAGAGCCGATGGCAAAACCCTGCAAATACAAAATTACGATATAAACTTTTCTTTTAATCAAGGAAGCTTACCATACTGAAGTGGTATAACATCATCATCATAATTAGAAACAACCACTTTCTAGGCATGATCGACATCTTGAGGGATAAAAACCTTGGTATAAATTTCAACTAAATGTGAACCTATGCTACAGTTATGCATGGAGATCATCAGGAAGAATTGACTAAGTTCGGTGCAAGACCTGGAAATTAAGAATGGGATGGGTAGGCAGATATGTACCTTTCCAATTGCGGCAGTTGTGTTTCCGGCAGCATCCAGAGCATCAGTTCTCTCCCGAATTCTGTGGCTCATGCCGGCCATTTCAGCAATTCCTCCAGCATTGTCACTGATGGGACCATAGGCGTCGATAGCAAGACCTGTGGCAATTGTGCTCAGCATTCCAAGAGCAGCCACAGCAACACCATACATGGCAGCAAGGCTGAAGCTGAGGAAAATGCTGAAAGCAATAGCAAAAATAGGGATGATGACTGATTTGTAACCCAAAGCAAGCCCAAAAATGACATTAGTGGCAGCTCCAGTTCTGCAAGAATCAGCAACATCTTGTACAGGGCTGAAAGGGTAAACAACAGAGATGTCAAAAGGTGAAGAATAAACATAAAAATAATCACCACATAAATGAGCAAATCGTAAATACCTATATGCGTTGCTGGTGTAATACTCGGTAACAAATCCAATGATTAGACCAGCCCAAAGACCAACCGCCACACACAAGAATAATTGCCTGATAAGTGATAAATTAACAGCAGAATGAGGATGAATCATAAAGTTAATTATATAGCCCAATGATGAATGTAAAAACACCGTACCAGCTTTGCACTGTCTTCTGGGCACCAAAGTTAAAGATGGTGAAGGTGTAAGGAAGGCCCAACCAACTGACAAGGGCAATGCCAACAGTCATAAAAGCAGTGGAAATTATAAGCTGTTTCTTGAGAGCTGGCTCTATTTCACTCACAGCCTTTATCTCAAAGAAATCAGTTGCAAACAAGGTGGTTATGAGACACGCTATAATTCCCACAGAGCTGACAAGAAGAGGGTACACCATGGGAGTAAATTCATGGTTGATTCCAAAAGAAGAGATTGATGCCACAACAAGTGCAGCACACGATGATTCAGCATAAGAACCAAAAAGATCTGATCCCATTCCAGCAATATCTCCAACATTGTCACCAACATTGTCTGCAATGACCTGCAAGCAGAACAAAAGTCATTCTTATACCATGATGGTTTGACCAGAGAGAAGATTAGCCACTTTGCAGTTTTGGTAAAGTGAGATTTTCCTAACAGTATATTTATGGGAATCTTTAGAATTCAAGTGAAAGATTCTTACAGCTGGGTTTCTGGGATCGTCCTCAGGAATATTTCTTTCCACCTTCCCAACAAGGTCAGCACCAACATCAGCAGCTTTTGTATAAATACCACCACCTACACGGCCGAAAAGAGCCATAGAAGAACCACCAAGTCCATAACCAGTAATAGCTTCAAAAAGGCCTTCCCAGTCATCACCATAATAAATTCCAAACAAATTAATTGCAATGTAAAGGACCAAGAGACCGCTTGCAGCAAGCAGGAAACCCATAACGGCACCAGACCGGAAAGCAGTGATAAAAGCCTTTCCAACACCCTTCCTGGCCTCCAGAGTCGTCCGAGCATTTGCATAAGTTGCAATCTTCATTCCAAGAAAACCAGATACCAGAGAGGTAACTGCACCAAGCACAAAAGCTATAGTGCTAAAGATAGCATTTGCAAGGGCAGGCTTGCAAGTCTTGTCCTTGCTGTAGTGGCAAGGCTGGCTCTTCGTGCTGAAGCCCTCAACAGACCCAAGGAAGAGGAAAATAAGAACTGCGAAGATGCTCATGAATAATCCGACATACTTGTACTCAGTGAAAAGGAAAGATGTCGCTCCTATTAACAAAAAAAAGAAAAAAAAGATGGAAGGTGAGTTTAGTTCAGGTTGTATCCATGATTGCAAAGTAAATGCGAGAAATGAACAAATGTCACATAAGAATAATATCAGTATATCACCACTTATGTTTGCTAATGAAAGTTTTGTGACACCCACAAACAAGTAGGCCCAAATCGCAAAGAGCATGGTCAACAAATTCTATACAAACATACTGTTTTATATCAAGGTAAATGGTACTAGTTCATCCAAAAGGTTAGAATAAGTTTTTGCATTACTCAGTTTCGATTTCCCACTTTTGGTGCTGTCAAAGTCAGAATAGCATCATAGGCGTGTGTCTACATCAAACCAATGACAACCCTGAACTACAGACGAATGGTAACAAAGAAGGTCATCTAAAAAGATGAATCGATTGGTTAAATGAGAACCAATCAAAACCTATCCACTAAAATCTAGTAGATCTAGAGAGGTATTCAATAATTCAGCCAACTGGCACTGCAACAACAACCAACCGGATATAATCCACTGAACTTACAACCGTCAAAACTAACAACTGCAGAGACAAAACTCTGGCTCAGCCTATTGAAAGGAGCTCCAAGCAAAGGACGCGATGAAAATGCTAAACTATTTGGCAAGTCCTGTAAAACCAATCATATGCCTGCCACCTTTTTTTTTTTGCGGGGAATCATATGCCTGCCACTAATGCAGGGAAACTCCATCTAACCAAGTACTCCTAGTCACTTCCATGTAGAACATCACAACAAAGCCAGCACAGCCTGTGCGCCAAGATATTTCCAGAGACAGCATCTGACACGTCTTTGTAGTTATTTTCATAGTGATTTAATGAAAGCTAATACTAACATACTATCTTCCAACAAACAGATATCACTAAGACACTAACAAATAATTTTGGTATGGTACTGAGTTGCTGACACCCACAAGCTAAGTTTTTTTTTCTTTTTAACTGGGGACACAAGCCAAACTATTTTACTAGCAGGTATCTTCCATAATGCAACAACCTTGTGGAGTGTCTACATGGATCACTAAATGAACCACACTCACATCATGCCAAATATTCTGGTGAGCTCGTTGAAATTACTATGGAAACGCAAATGTGGATCCCAAGAGATAAATAGATTCTTGACCGGCTGCTTGTTATCTTATCAGAATCTGCAGCCTGAGGAATGGTGACCACGTGCTGCACGAACTTATCTTTTCATTTCATCTCTGACCCCACACTTCTGGGCTTCCTCAGACTGCAAGAACTTATCCCCTTTCATCTCTTACCCCACATCACAACCACCTTACCACCAGTTTGACCAAGAACCCCACAGTCCCATAATGTAATTTCAAGAAGATAATAATTAAGTGGAGTACTTAATTTAGATATATGAACATGTGATGGATTACTAGTACTACTAGCTATCAACTCTGAGAGCATGCTAAAGTGAAAGTTATTATAATCACTGCCGGGTAAAGTAGCAACAGCCAACAGCAAATAGTTTAATGCGTTGTTTAGGTCCAACCAATGTGGAATAATATAGTGTAATATTGACCACGAACACACGAAGCAAATACTCTCTACTACACGTCAACAACTTAAGAAAATGACTGAAATCTT